CCAAAATGGCTTCGTTCCTGGTAGACAAATCGACGACACGATAGACCTGTACGAGGCAGCACAAAGTATGGTACTCACTGATCTCTCTCAGAGAGGGGCTTCGGAACTACTGCTGGACTTCAAGAAGGTCTACGACTCACTCGATCGAGCATACTTAACCCTTTCGTGGCAAAAGAGCGCAGAAAGCTCCCTTTTAGTGGTTGTGCAAAGAACAGTAGGAATCAGCCGCTTAAATGGCGCATTATACGCCCTTTAACGGAAGTTCAACTATATGTTGCGACATAGCATTTACAGTACGATTCGCAATCTTGTAAGATTACTTGAATTCAGTCAAATTAAAGTAGCAGATTGCTTCATCATCCTATCTTAGATGATTTGTTACAAGAGATAGTTCAAAAGGAGTACCGTTACTTTGTAAAAGGGCGACAAATGCCCCCTTTATATATAAATGACTTCTAGTTGTGTACTTCAGTCTATACAAGAGGCGCACGAAAGGATTAATGTTCATGGTTCGTAATCCCGCAGAAGAAATCGTCGTGGGGTCTCTCGAAATTGTTATTCGTGGTGCCTTTGAGGTTCCTCAAACTTGATAGTGATGAATCTTGGTGTACCACGAGCGCGAGCGCGAGCGTAAGCAATAGCGCCACATTAGTGATCACGAGTAGAGACGATCGTCTGGTAGATGAATGCAGTTTGCATGCTGAGCAGGGAGAGCGAGGGATTGCAGTGCTCTCAGTCACGAGCGGCGTCAACTCCGACGTATGGATGAGTATGATAGTTTATAGAGCCATACTAATATTTTGTATGGGTATATACTGCCAATTACCTGCCAGAAAATATCACCAGCCAATCACAGTTAATCTAAACCATGATTTAAACCAATCGGATGTAGTAGGTTTAGGTGAGTCATCCAAGCTACCCGATCGGACGTATCAAGTCCAATAAAACTCTAAAATGTGCGTATGTTCATTCAGTTGTCAAGTGGTAGACGTATCACTTTCATATTCCTCTATATCGGACCTTCGCGATGGGTTTGGAGGAATTGCAACCTGGCAGCACATTGCGGGCTAAGGCAACTGCTGTCGCAGCATTTTTCAAGTTTTGAAAGGGTGAGGATGTTGAGGAGGAATACGTAAAGAAATGTATTAAGGAGGATGAGAGTGCCAAGAGCTTTGTGTGCGTAATGGATAAGTTTGGAATGTGCCTTGCGTTTAGTGAAGGAAAGAAGATTAAATTGCTGACACGAAACACTGCAATGCAGTACTATCGTCAAGCCAAAATTTGGCTCCTAGAGCAATTTCCTCAGCACCGAGCATCGCTAGAATCGCGGCTGCTTAAAATGGAAAAACCTCTCGATAAGTTTTTGTAGGAAAATAGATGGTGGTGGCTTCCTAGCAAAGGCTCCACCATGTACAAAGTCTGGCTTGAAAAAAAATGACTGTGTTTTTGTATGTCAATGCATGTTCTGAGCGTGACTACCAATATGCTGCTCTTCTGTGTCTGCTCTGGTACCCGTTCGGGCGAGCTTCGGACCTGACGATGATCAAGAAGCGGAACATCTCTATATATTTCGCCCGTATCTTCTTTCTTCGCTTGGTCCGTGTGAAGACGTCGGAAGAACTAGCCTTGTATCTCTTCCCCGACGCCGACTTCGCAACGTGCCCCTTGCTCGCTGCTGCTCTCACTCTCTCCGTCCAAGCAGCACCGTGCCCAGCTCTCATCGGGAACCTTCCCGACCAAGTGCAGTAAACGTCGACCTTGACGTGCCCCTCGTGGTACTCGTAAAACGCACCACCGGCGACCTCTGTTCTTGCTACGCCTGCTCCTCCTCCTCCTCGTACTGCTGTGGGCTCGACAATCTGAGCACATGTCAACCGTGTGCTTGATCGAGTCGCCCCTGCCGCCGGTGTGTCAGCTGCTCTCACGTCGCACTATTTCCGTCGTGGTGGGGCCCAACATGCCAACGGCTGCGAGAAGATGACCGCGCGCTGGATCTTTGATCGCGGATCTTGATACCTAAGCACCACAAACTAAGGGTTCAACTACATCTTCAACACAAGTAGAGAAGACCACATGATTGCCAACGTATTGAGTGAATACAAAGTAGAAGACGCTGTCCCTCTCCAAGACCTGTTCAGCTTTGACGCAGACACGCTTCCCGCGATTGCCGAGTTCCAACGAGTCTTGTTCGCAGCTTGCTATTAACTAGAGACGGATAGCTTCAACATCAATCGGAAGATTCTGGATGTCCTAACCGCTTCCGTCGTTAGGCACAATCCCGTCGTAAAGGGATTGAATTCCAACAGTCAGCGGTGCAACAACTCGAGACCTGTGTTACGCAGGCTGGACGTACGCTTCCGGACCTCTTAGTCTGGTCGACGCATCTTGCAGGTGCGCAGCATTCCTGTAAAGACAACATAGAAGCATTCACCTCACCATCCATGCTAATGAAACCAAGCCAAGAGCAGAAGATCATCGAGCACCAGGCCTCTGTCATTCAACACCTTATCAAAAATTCCAAACACCAAGACGCCCGTATGGATCTGCTTGAGGCTAAGCTGAACGGTGAACCTGTAACAGAAACGCGAATAAGAAGCATTCAAGATGAAGACGCCACAGATGTGAGCAAACCTAAGCAAAAACAGCGTAGAGGATCCGCAACCTACCTTGCGACTTGGTTTACCTGGTACGCTCAAGAGTCACGCTGGTACGTCGAAGCATCGAAGCAGCAGCGCTCGATAGCCAAGCTGCTAGTCGCGTACATGAAGCCGTTCCTCGACGACGGCTTAGTGCTCCGCCAGGCCACAGCGGACTACCGCGACCGAGTTTTGGAGCTGGGGAAGCGCGCCGAATATGCCGTACTCATGTCCTTGAAAGGCAAACACAGCATTAGCTCTCGCGGATCGAGCGCGGTCCTCAAGCACCTCCAGCGGTCCACTGCGTCGGCGCTCTTAATGCCAAGATCCAGCGCCACTGTCAACTGCTCCAGACAGCTGCAATTCCAAGACCCGTTTCCTGGCTACACGCAGGACGTTCTTGAGGAGGTTAGTAAGTAGAGCAAACATTTAAATGTGAATCCATTCACCCTTCCTCACAGCATTAAGCTAGGTCGACCTCAACACACGTATGCAGTCACCTTTCTTGCTGATCTGATCTGTCCACGAAACTTGATCTTCGCAACAAGGCCTGTAGCCCAAGCATAAGCAACAACGATGGCTCGACTTGAACAGGTATGTTCAAAGCTGAAACCTTGCGCTCTCCCAGCTGAGCTACATCGTTGGAAGGGGGGGGGGGGGTCAGAGGCGACCTGGAGGCTTGGAAGACCGTGCAGCCCGTACGGGAGATCAGCGTAGTTGCGTTGAAAAACGTAAGACTGACTGCCAACGTGAGCTGTCGGCGGCGGATTGACTGAACGTGAGATGCTGCAAACCATTCGATAAATGTAGTCTAACGCAATTACAGATTACACGTTTTTACTAGCAGATAATTAACCAATAAGCAATAGCAGCTCTGATAACTGGCTGCCGTCAATCTTAATTTACCGGACAGATGCAAATTATTCGGACGTTCGTGGCGATTCTGTCTCATTGTTAAATTTGCTAGCTCATGCGCACGTGACTCTCATGCCAAAACTGCACAGAACAACAAAATAGTGATTTTCTCAGCCCAGAGGGCGTTTTAGGCCGTCTATAAAACAGTCTGTCTGACCACGCTTTGGTCTTTTGCGTCATTTCACATCAGGCATGACCTCCCCTAAACCTCGTACCTATCTGAGATAAACTGTGTACAATACATAGGTCCGATAAGAAACATGATACAGAACATGGGACCAGATCTGAGTATTGTTTTGATTGGACGAAAACGCATTATTACCTCTTCAATTTGCAATGTTGAAGTGAAATTGCACTTAACCTTTATTTGAAGTCTGGTACAAGCTTTGGTTCCTGATAAACCGGTTGATCATCTCGAGTGCAGCTGCTGCTTGGTCCTTGGGGACCATGTGACCTTCCTCGAAGACGCGAAAGAATGTGAACTGGTTGCTGTACGAGCGGACAGAGCCAGCGTCGATTGTTTCAGTCTCCCCTGCCACTTGGAACCTGTGTTTCTCCGCATCATTAAACCCCTGTTGGTTCTTCCACTTGAGTTTCTTTGTCCACGCTTCACCCCCAAGCCAATTGCAAACCAAACCAGCGTCTCCGCTGTAAATCAGCACGCGGACGGACCCGTCATTCAACAAATCGGTGACGTATCCGTCAAAGTTTTGCATCAGGTCGGAGGAGTAGTGCGCGCGCTGTTGCAATGACGTCCTTTTTCTCGGACACATTAAGGTACTCTCGAACAGCAGTGGAGCTGGGATATTGCGCGACAGCGGACGTATTGTAGCATCCTGACGGATCGCGGGAGTCGCATTTCTCGCGGATGTCGCATTTGTTTCTATACGAGTCGTCCATTTCCACTAATTGGGAGCTTGGCCAGCAGCGCGATGCTCCGTTACATACACTCATGTTTGTCTGACATATATTCAGAAGTTGTTGCACACTAGCGCCGCTTCTTTCAGGGCTGCCAAGTCGGTAGGTTTGATCAAACAGATGTTATAAGAGTTGCTGACAGCCATATCCGGTGCATGCGGCAGCTACAAACCCGCGCAATATCGTCAGAGTTACCGCAAGCTAGCATTGATCTCATTGTGTTATAATACGTACCTGGACAACAGGGTTCACCAAACTGTCGCCGATAGCGATTCCCTTAAAATTGATACGAACTGTAGCATTTGCCTTTTTGATGATGAGGTTCTCCCTCCGGATGTAGTGTGCTGCTGCCGGGACGTAGTGGGACGCATACCCCTCTCCAGCAAGGAACAGAGCTCTTCATTCGAGCTCTGGATGTTTATCCAAGAATCCTTGTAGGAACCAGTATACACTCATCTGGACGTCCTCCGAATTGAGTTCTACTCTAGTCTTACTACTCTATGAGAAGCTGACCCTCGTATATTGGTCTAGTCAAACCACGTTCGCCTCTGACGTCCACGAGTACGCGCTCAGTGTTGTAGTGGCGTCTGAGCTTATCCGACAATGACCGTTTTCGGTCAGCAACGCTGTGAGGCTGGAGGCGCCAGATCCGCTGCCGGTCACCCACAGGATGAACGGGTCGGTATCTGGGACCTTGCGAGACTCAAAGAACCAGCAGAAAAGGTGGTCGTCTACATTGTAAGGCAGCGTGATGTAGCCAGCCTCGCTCTCATCGGTCCCGCACTGGAACCTGTGTATTGGACATGGAAGCCGGCGTGTGATGATGTCTCGTGCTATTGAGTGGCTTCAACCCCGTGTGAGGCTCCGCCACCGCAGTGGGGTGCTGGGGAACTGCCTGCGGATACGTCTTTGTGCCGATGTTCGTCGTCGTCAGCACGGCAGCAATCATCAAGACGAAGCCAAGCAGCGCTAGACCGGCGATACGTCGCTTGTGTTGAGCGTATTGCTCCTGCGGCCTGCGATGGCTTTGGAGGAGTGGCGTCGTCTCAGTCGCCATGTTTTTGCTCACCGCCGAGCGTATCCACAAGACTGCAAAGTCTAAAATAATGAATTCGGTCACGCAATTTAGCTGATGTTCGATGATGGCTGTACTGACGAGCGCGCCATCCGCGGTGCTGAGGCATCACAGCAAGTACAGCAGTGCTGGCAGGATCTCATCCTGTCGTAGAACTTCAGTTTTCTGCCACGTACGTGTCTGATCGGGCCCGGTCCAGTGACGGCCCGACGTCACGACGTTTGAATCAACTGCAATGTCGACTCGACACAGATCGAGGCCTCTAACGACTCTCAAAATACACACAGTTTTACATTTTGCTAACCACTAGCGAAGCAACTCCGATCAAAGAATGCTTTAGTTAAAGGAGAGCGACAAGACTCCGCCACAAACATGGGGCGCCTCCGCTCGGTAAGGCACACCTCGTTCTCCGATCTAACCGAGAGTTCGAATGTCTCAACGGGCAGACGGATAACGAAGCTGCAGAGACCGCGCATCGCGCCGCGGCAGCGCGCTACATGAGCGCGCCAATTTTAAAACCGCTATCAAGCGAGCTCGCATCGCCAAGCTCGCCCGCGGGACAGAGTGACGTGAGCATGACCGACGTGCTCCCACCGGTTCTCAATGCTCCTGCGCTGCCATCAGCTCCCACGTATCGTGGCAGCACCTCCGAAGAGCGTCGGTCGCTCATGCGTCAGTATGAAACCAACACAATGGCGTTAGAGGCCTACCAGACGCCGTCAAACCGCCCGTTTGTCGACCCTGTCGTCGCATGCATCGAAGGCAACACTCGGCGGCGCATTGCCATGTTCGAGGTTGGATGTGCGCCCGAAGCGATCAGCAACGAGCAGTGGATATACTACTTTCTGGAGGCTAAAGTTCCGGTCGGCATAGACAACCACCTCGCCGTTGATGAGGCGATGAAGTCTCTACGCATGAGTACGGCTTTAAAGGAAGCGCAATCGCGCATGAATAGTCTCCGGTCAGACATGTACAAAATTCTGGATGCCCACAATTTGGGCAATGAGATGTTCGCCAAGGCACCACGTCAAATCGTGCGATACTTGCTCGAAGCGCTGCAGGCAGCAAGCCTTTGCGACATCGTGCGCCACCAGCTAACAATGGAAAGCAACAAGGAGATGAAGAAGCAGATCGTCCCGTTCTGCAAGTGAGTCACGACCATGCTGGCCCAGTACATGCAGTGGAATGAAGAAGTTCGCGGGCAGAAGCCGGCCAGCGAAACCAAGGCCGGTGGCAAGCTCAAGCCCAGTCGCGGATCTGACGACGACCACGACGACGGAATTCAAGCGCCCCCGCTTGCCGTGCCTCAAGTGTGGGTTACCCGACCACAGTGTTCGTCATTGCCCCTCCGCGCAACCGGGTGACGCGGACAGACTGATTGCCGAGGCGCGCGAGAGAAGAAAGGCAAACCCCGTTTACTCCCGTAAAATAAATGTGCCGCCGAGTGCTGCTTCCACCGATATCACCCCGTCGTAAGCATCTACGGGCCACGTCCTCGCCGTGATCGAGGGTGTGGAGGTGCAAGCCACCCTCCTGGACTCAGGCTGGGACGAATCTCTGGCCTCACGTTTAGGCGCTGGAGACATTGGTGAAGCGGCGCTTGAAGTGGCTGCAGTCTCGCTGCCTATCTACGCCGAGGCCGTGGGCAAGCGGTTAATCGCTTTCAAAGAGGAACATCCTCTTGCCGAAGGTGACCCTCGCAACATCTGCTGGGCCTCTGGTGCTGCGCAACATACGGTGCTGGGTCAACGAGAACGACACTGACCTGAACATCACTAAGGGCAGGCCGATCACGGAGCGGCTTGGCTACTTCGCCGACTCGCTGCTTGTTGCAGCGCTCAATCGACAACCCGAGTATGATGGAGGCGGCAGTGCGATGGGCTCTGCAGCATCGCGCGCAGAAAGTTCCCCCCTGTCCAGAATGCAGCGACGGCAGTACAAGGCCTGCTACGACCACCCGGCAGTCAGCGACAGGACGCCTTTGGACTTCGCTTTCACCCCCAAGTTCGTCACCCACGTTGAGGCGGCCGCGCGTGTCCAAGCGATCTTTGTCAAGGGCCTCAAAGATGTAGTCGCTCGGGGCTTGAGCGAACGCGGACTTAAGCACATGAAGGCCTCGCTTGAGAAATACGCCAACAACTATCGCGTCCAGTTCGGGCTGGGCCCTCCCGTCAAGGTCACGCCGCTCGAGGTCCGCCTTAAGCCTGAAGCAGTCCCCGTCAAGTGCAAAGCGCGGCGCTACCCGCTGTTGCACCGTATCTTCTTAGATGCCAACGTGAAAGAGCTTCTCGACGCGATGCTGATCCGTGAGAACAACTGCACCAGATGGTGTTCCCCGCCGCAAATGGTGCCCAAGAACCACGTGAGCGACCTGCGAATGACTATTGAAGACCGCGCTGTCAACGCCTGTACGGAGCCGATGCCCTTCCCAATGCCACATCTTGACGTGGTGATCACCCATGTTGAGGGATCCACAATCTTTCTCTCCTGCGACTGGTTCCGCGGATATTGGCAACTTCATCTCGACCCCGAGTCCCAGGAGTACTTCACCTTCATGACACACCGGGGGATGTATACACCGCAGCGAGTGCCGATGGGATCCAGTGACTCAGTTGCGATCTGCCCGCAAGCTGTAGAAGAGATGTTCCACGTAGATATCAACAACGGGGTGCTGGCCTGGTTAGATGACCTACTTGGGTACGCTAAGACCGAAGAGGAGCTGTGCGACCTGTTTGATCGAGAGATGGAGAAGAGCGCTAAGTATGGGCTCAAGCTTCACCCAGGAAAATGTGGCTTCTTCACGACCCGTATCAAATGGTGCGGTCGCATCATTTCGGCTGAGGGCATCACCCACTGCCCAGAGCGGATCCAGGGCCTCGTGGACATGCCATCATTAACTATGGCCAGTGAGCTCCAACAACTGCTCTGCGCAACCAACTGGATGCGCGACAGCATCCCTCAGTACGCGCACATTGCGGGCCCGTTGTACAGCTCACTCGAGTCCGCCATCAAGACAGAGACCGATATCCAGCAGCGGATTTTCGTCATCGGGCACGCTGGGGAAAGTGGGCATCGTGGTATTAAAGCCACAACAACGGTCATCACGAAGACATTTAGCTGGAGAACACTGGTAGCAGACGTCGCCGCGCTCGTCCATGGGTGTATACATTGTATGAGTACGGGTAGCTCGAGGGAGCCGCGTCCCTATGGTCCTACACTGCAAGCCACCAAGACCAACGAGGTTCTACATTTTGACTTCTTAAGCCTTCCAGCCAGCGGCAGCGGCATGCACTATGTGCTAGTGCTGAAAGATGGGATGTCGGGGTACACGGAGCTGGTGACGTGTCCGGCTGCTACCGCGGACGTAGCAGCTATCGCGCTAGTCGACTGGTGCAGGAGATTCGGCATTGTGCGCCAGTGAGTGTATCCACTTTAAGAACCAACTAATTGCACGACTCGCGAAGCTCTTCGGTGCGCAGCACCACTTCGGCACGGCCTACTGCCCGTGGGCAAACGGCACTGTGGAGGTCGTCAATCGGCTGATACCGAAGGCATTGAAATCTTTACTCAGCGAGCTTAAACTTCCCATTGCATCCTGGTCCGATATTCTACCCGTTTCCCAGTACAGTCTGACACAATGCCAGCGGATCGCATTGGAATGCTTGCCCCGCTAACGGCGTTCACCATCACTGTCCACCACGCGTCAAGACTCAAGCTTTACCGAGACTCCCAGCGCAAAGTAACAGAAGAGATCCTCGCTCACATCCATCATGGTGCTGGTGGCCACCTTGTCGAGCGCTTGCTCGACTGCTCAAGGGCCCTGAGAACTACGAGCTCAACGTCCAGTGGGTCGAGCTAGACCCTCTCGAAGCCTCTTGGGAGCCAGATCGAGTGATGGTTGAAGACATTCCAAAACAAGTAGATTCCTACGTTGCGGCCCACCCCAAGCACAAGACCCTACAAGCGATGTGGAAAGCTCTTGCACCTGCCGCGCCGCAGCAAAAACGAGGGGGAAAATGATCGGGCCCGGTCCAGTGACAGCCAAACGTCTCGACGTTTAAATCAACTGCAATGTCGACTCCACACTGATCGAGGCCTCTAACGACTCTCAAATACACACAGTTTTACATTTTGCTAACCACTAGCGAAGCGACTCCGATCAGTGTCTATCGCATATCTGATTAGCCACTCACGATGTCTGGCTATCGATCAGTGGGGAATGATTGCTTCTAATTTCGGATGTGTTCAAAAATATTTTTAGTACTGAATACATGTAGTACCTCTGCCAGTAGTGGTAGAACATGTATTAGCACGATTCCGGCAAAAGATTGCATTACGTGATGGTTAACATGCTGTGAGCTACCATGGTACTACGTAGCTTGAATTCATCAACTTTGGACAGGAAGGGGTGAAGCTAAATAGAGCTCGCAGTCCTAATTAATCTAAGCTTTACTGGGCAAGTAGGACTGGTCATCCTGTACCGGCTGAGCTGGACGAGCATATACGGGCTGCCCCGGAGCAGCGTTCACGGGCTGAGCCGGTGCAACTTTCACAGTGTGACGGAGTCACACAGCACCTTGCGCTAGAGGAAGTTAGCTTCCGAGAGTATAAAAAATCTCAGTGAACGGCAGTTCACAGGTCCCCTCTTTATTCAAAAGAGAGGAGTGACCTAATTAAGGTAGAATGTAAACTGAGTATATTTATAGGCAGATTAAAGCTTGGGTTTAATACAAACTATAGGTCACCTATAGAAATGCAACGTCATCAACCAATGGTTGGCTTTAGACGACCTTGGTACCTTGTACCAAATATCCCGAAGTATGGCGTGTCACACTTCATGTAACCAGGATACACTTAGGGCTACGTACCCCGTTCAATCCTCCCCCACTTAGGTTCGGTTTACCGACCAATCAGAATGAAGAGGTGTTCGTCACAAACTTTTATTCTTAAAGTCGAAGATCCATCGACTTGGCCGCGCGAGC